AACTTATTTTTTTTTTTTTATAAGTTAACACCATAGAGCAATTCAATCTAGTTTAAATGAACTAGAAATGAATGTCTTACACAATTGTAGCTTATATATTTAAAAGCAATTTATTCATTGAAGTTTTTTTTGCTTAGAATAAGTATGTTTATCAAAAGGATGTGCTGCCATTGTCTTTTCTGATCCTTCAAGTAGTGTGGAATTTTCAGTTAACTGCCAAATATAAGAAAAAGAAACCATTTCAAGTATCAATATTTATATTATGACACATGGTCTTTGTTCAGTCCATCACTTTTAAAAGCGATTAATCTGATTTCCAGTTTATATGGAGGCTTTGAGTGGCAAGCTCTCTATTTTTATAGTAATAGTTGAAACATATGTTCAAATGTCATTCCATTTATCTGATTTATCTTTTGGTTGTGTTTCACATGAATTTTTATTGTAGATATTCTTTGTAATTTGCTTTTGTTTTTATAAAGAATTTATCAACAATACATTAGATTCTTAGAATCACGGCAAACTCCTCATAATTATTATAATACAACTCTCATCAATTCTTATATTAAAATAATATACAGAGAGACCAAATTTTATCTATATTGTAGATTCAGCTATACAAATACAACAAAAGAAAAAAAGGCAAATGTAAGAAAAAGCAGTATTAGAATGTCATACTCTGTGAACTTTATACGCACTATTGTGTTTGCTGTTTAACCTCTGCCCCTTGCTTCTCCTCTGTGGCCCTTGATACTAAGTTCCTTCCCTTCATTAAGCGTTCTTCTTTCTTGACTTTTGTCATCTTTCAGCCATTGTCTTAGTCATTTCCAGTTGCCTTAGAATGTTATTTATTTCTCCAACTCCCTTTTTCTTCATATTGAATCTTCCTTTGATCTCCCTATGGCCTCTTGCATCTCATGTATCAACATTCCCAAATCCTTGTCAAGAAAACTTGAAGCATGCACTTATGAGGCAAACATGTAAATGAATGCTGGCTCTGCTACTTAATAGCTGTGACAAATTAGGCAAAAACTTCTCTGAAAACTTATACTCTATATATAGATTTTTTTAAAAGAATGATAAAATTAGCTACAGCCATATATGATGAACAAGAATTATCTAAAGTACTACCAAGATTCTAGGGGCTGGAACAATGCCTCAATTGGCTAATCTGCTTGCAAGCACTGGCATCCTATATGGGCACCAATTTGCATCCCAGCTGCTCCACTTCCCATCCAGCTCTCTACTTTTGGCCTGGGAAAGCAAAAAGGGGTTACCCAAAGCCTTGGCACCCTGGAAGGAGGCCTGAAGAAGCTCCTGGCTCCTGGCTTTGGGTTGGCTCAGCCCCAACCATTGAGGCCATTTGGGGAAGGAACCAGCAGATGGAGAATCTTTCTGTCTCTCCCTCTCGCTATAAATCTGACTTTCCAATAAAAATAAATAAACCTCTTAAAAATATTCTAGTGAAAAGTATCCAAGAAGGTTACCTGATCTTCTTTCTTCTTTCCTATTATACCAACATTTCCCCTTTCCAATTGTCCCTCTTGGATTGCAGTATATCCTTTCTGTGTTCAACTGGTGTTTCTCTTCTATACACAGTTCTTGTTCATGAGAAATTTTGGTAGTTTTCTTCCAATATTTCTTTGTTAGGTCAGTTCCACTCATACCAAATACATCTCAGGCCTTGTTCATTTTCCTTAAATATTACTCAAGTGCTTTCTTGTTTTAAACTTCAATTATTCTCTTAATTTATCTAAGTAGTTTGTTATGTCTGTATTAACTTCTTCAACCTTGCCTCTGAGGCCTACGTTCTATATTGATTATAATAGAATTGTAAATCAAAAATTTAATCATGTGCTACATGAGCATATGTAATTATGCTTACATGCTTTATTTACCATATATATGTGTGTGTGTGTATATACATATATACATACATATATATATATATAATTTTTTTTAAGGATTGGCTCAACTGAAGTGCCCTCTAGCCTGACCTGAACAGCCCACTTCCAAGTTTTCCAGGAAGGTCAGGTCTTACTTGCTATATACAAAGATGATTGTGACAACTAATGATATAAAACTTCCTTTATAAACTCACCTTTCTAGCATCTTGAAGGCAACTTGCACATTTCAGTGCCTAGCATTGTTTCTTTCTGTGAAAAGTAAAAAACAAACTGTGTCAAGAATTTCTCCCTCTAGCCTTGTCTGTGTCCGTGTTGGCAATACACTCAATCTTTAGGAAATGCCACCTCCTCGAGGAAGCCTGTTTGCAACTTTCTGTTTCTGTCCAGAGTTATTCCACCCATCAATGTTCTGCATTATCCTGGAAAAGCCTTCATTACAGTGAAAATATATAGTATTTCTGCTTTTCTTGCCAAATATGATGTTTTGAGGATAGCTATTGCATTTTACCAACATCCATAGAACCCAGCATTTTCGCATAAAGCATACGCTCATGTAAATTTGGTTAAAAAGTAAGGGCTATTATTTAATCAGATGCCTACCTGATGGAGTCTGCTTCTTCCTCTGTTCCCCTTTCTTCGGAATCTCTCTGGATATGTATGCAGATACCCCACTGTCAGTTTCGCCTTCAGTTGTACTAGTATTCAACTACACTAGTATCTAGTCCAGATATGTGTCTAGGCTCCTAATGTCTCATATTTGTTGCTTTTCTCTTTAGCCGCTCTCCACCTTGCATCGCTATGCTTACTGCACCAGAATTCTGAACACATACCTCCCTGTACCCTTTGCAATACTTCTCCACTAAGCTGAATGTCTTTTTTTCCCTTCTAATTCATAAAATATTTAGAATTGTTTTTGGCATCTACATTTATCACTCTTATTCCTCATATTGTATACATATTTTCACCAATATGATTTGATAGCCTTCATCCTGTATAATTGTTTTACAATTTGCTCTTATTTTTAAAATAACTACATTTTTACTAAAAATCCCTACCTCTTTTGTATTCAACATTGAAATATACAAGGCCATTATTATGTCTACTTTACCACCATGCTTCTTTTCAAATGAAGAAAACTCTGTTGAGCTAAACTGCAGTACCACTTGGAGAGTACAAGATTCAGGAATGGGAGTGAGCCCACTAGGGCACCTCCCTCTTGGGTTGCCACTCCAATGAGCATGAGAAGCAGGACTGGGACAGGCATTGCTAGACGCCAAGTGGCACACACTGGCACATAGTGTGGGCTGGATTGGGGGTAGGCTGGTTGGGTTGAACTGGACTTCAGCGCCCATTGACATGTATGAAAGCTGAACAGGATGTGGGACAGACTAGACCAGTCTGCTGTACATACTGGCAAGCATGGGAACCAACACAAGGGGTTGGCCTGGTGAGGGATATTGCGCTCTGACTATTGTCTGTGGATGCAGTGGTCAGGATTGAGTAGGACTGCAACACCCATTAGTTTGTGTAAAAGACAGGGCTGTAGACAACTGACCCAATCATGTAGATTTCTGCCTTCATCATCCTTTCCGAGTCATTATATGAATGTCAGTTATACTTTCTGGCTTAAAGCTGACCAATGACTTTCAATTGAAGTAAAAAAAAAAAATATTTCCAAAATTTTGATTACAGACTACAAAATGCTAGATAGTCTGGATGTTACTTGAATAAACATGGACTTTGTAAGGTGCTGTTGTTAATTTCCCATGGCATTAGGCTCCATCCTTGTAGCCAGCACATAACACATTATTTCCTTAAGAGCCTTTTACATAACTGTTCACTCTTCCTGGATCATTGCATGACTGAAACTGCAGCTTACAGATCACAATTCAGAGAAGTTTTGCAGCCTGTAAGCATGGTAACCATCTCTTGATCTAGTGGTCCTCTGTGTTGCACCCCAGGGACTTGCAAGAAACAAGCAGGGTAAAAATGAAGAGGAGGAAATGGAATCCAGGAAAATGAGTAACCTATTTCTGAAGGAAAATCTAAGAGGTCGCCACTTACATAATGAGATGAATAATGCCGTAGGAACAGTAAACTAGAGAAATGAGTGGGAAAAGACACTTGTATAAATAATCAACTAGTTAATGTCAGGAGTAAAGATAAATGTTAGAGAATCATTTTTTTAAAATCTCAAAAGACAGAAGGATTTTAGCTTAATATTATAAATGAATCCCCATCTCAGCAGTAAATACAACAGCATAGTTCAAAATATGTAATGGGGGCCCTGTGTGGTGGCCTAGCAACTAAAGTCCTTGCCTTGAATGTGCTGGGATCCCATATGGGTGCCAGTTCTAAGCCCTGGGACCCTGCACCCACATAGGAGACCCGGAAGAGAATCTGGGCTTCTGGCTTCAGACTGGTGCAGCACCAGCTGCTGCAGTCACTTGGGGAGTGAAGCATTGGACAGAAGATCTTTCTCTCAGTCTCTGCTCCTCTCTGTATATCTGCCTTTCCACTAAAAATAAATCTTTTAAAATATATATATATTTAAACATATATATAATTTATATATAAATATATATTTATATAATATATTATATATTTATATATATTTATCTTATATATTTATATAATAAATATATATTTTTATATTTGTATTATATATATATAATTTATATATAAATATATATTTAAATTTAAATATATATATAATGGATTTCTCCCAAATTTCTTTCATTTACTTTATATAAATAGATATTCAGTTATAAATTTAGATGTAGATATGTAGATATAAATATTTCTCAATAGCCACAGGAGATTGCTTCCAGGTTATCACAAGGACTCCAAAATCTGTCAGTGATCACATATGATGGTATTGTGTTTTCATGAAAAATCCATGCACATCCAAATTTATAGATAAAAATCTATAGCAGTTTTTCATGGTCTAGCAGCATTATCAAAATCCAAATGCCACTAGCCTATAATTAAATATAATTTTAGAGATTGGTACAAGGTTTCACTGTTGAAAGGGACAAATATTTAGGGAAAAAGTATGTTGAATAGTGTTGAAAAAGAGTAATATCAGTTGCCATGATTCAGTCAAGAGATTTCATACATGTATTGAGCCATTCTTGCACAGTGGCCATGCTAGTCTTTTCTGTATTGCTCCAACATTAGTGTATGTGCTGGTGAAGAAGCCATGGTATACGTGTATCAATGTCACACACTGTGGCCAAGAGATATGCTTAGAGAAATAAAAATGTTAGCTAACCTGATTTTATTCTCACTTTATGTGTATGCCATGGATTATTACCCTGTACCTTACAAATATGTGCAATTAAAAACGAGAAAAATAAACCACAATAAGAAATATTCAGATATGATATTTTTACATCAGTAAAGAGTTGATTTGAGATACAAGGTGAAGATTGTAAAAATGAGAAATGCGTTAGCTCATAAAGAAATCAGAAAGATAAAAGAATGAAATAATATCTACAGTATTTACTTCTAAAACTTGTCAAAATTTTCTACAGATTTAAGAGACATTCTGATCGTACCAAGTATGTCATCTCTTCTCTAAAATGAAACAAGTAAAGTAGTTGTATTTTACCAATAGTATAAAATCAGAATAGTTATTTATAGTGAGTTTTCCTTAGAAGAAATTGTCAAAATTGCTTATAGATTATATATATAGACACAGACAAATGCACTGAGAGCTGAATTCCTGAAGCGCGTGCGCACACACACACACACACACACACACACACACACACACACACAAATTTGTATGCACCATATATGGGAAAAAGTTAAGGCTAATGTTAAAGTATTTGGCTTTGATGCTATTTCAAGCCATACTCCTATGTCCAATTCATCCATCATTTTTTAGAAGTAGAATAAACCTAAAACCACTCTTTTCACCTTTGTAGAAGCATGATTTATGGAAGATAAATGCTCTTTTGGTGCACAGTTTATTTTCAATTGATTACTATATGAGTATGTTGGAGATTGTGTTCTCTCTCTTCAGACCTTTTTCCAAGGGAAATTCAGGCACCTAAGTGTATTTAAAATATTGCATGAAAATAAAACTCTTTCATACATCTGAAAGAGAATTTTTTATCTTTACCATGTTGAATAACTGCATAAAAGATTGTACAGACTTTCCAGATCTTATGGCAGCAATATTTTTTCAGGCTTTAGATTTTTCCCTTCCTTCATAAAATTCGCTATTGGTGAGGACTCTACATTACAAATGCATGTGCTTATGTTTCTGTCAGTTGTGCAAGTCTGTGTATAAAGGTTTACAAGGATACACGTATAGGAGGAACATGAACATTTCATTTCAAGACCTGTCATTTTAATTCTTTAGGTAAAATTTAATTCAAAAGTTATGCTCATTATCACATATAATAAATTTTATCATCAATGATACTTGTATGTAGAACTTAGCTGAGAAATTAAAATAGACTTTCATTCTTAAATTATTTAAGTTATCAAAATGCTAAATATTCCTTCCCACAATTGGCCTAAAAGAATATTTTAGGAATAAGTGTAAAACAAAGGTATCATCTTCAGATTTGGATGGAGACATCCACAATCTATATTACACTGTCTGGGTCTAAGTACCAACTCCATTCCTACTTGATACTTCATGCTTATGAAGATCAGGGAAAAAAATGTATTTGTGCTCACATCCTGGGCATGGCACAGCTCTGACTTTTGAAGGGGCTTGAGGAGTGAACTAGGAGACAGCATTCTCTGTCTCTCACAGTGTCTCTGCCTTTCAAGTAAATGAAATATTACCAAGTGTAAAACTTATAATAAACAATAATAAAGTTGCCAGATATTTTTAAGTATTCCTGAAATTTAAGAGTGATATGTGTTAAAGAGAAAAGGAAGCTTAGATTTCAGATACTTTTACAGCTCATAACTCAGGAACAATTGTATTCTTAAATGAGAGAAATTTTCTTTCAATCAATAATTATGAATTTACAGTGTTCAATAACTGCATAAAAATGTTATTTTTCTTCAAAAAATGAAGACATCCATAAAGTCCTGAAAGAGTTTTTATTCAGTGTTAGGTTGTTTCAGTATCTCCATAACCTTTTTGGATTCTGTTAATATCATTGGATATCATTATTTTCCATGTAATTTCATTATTATATTCAATGCATATCTGTCCTCTATAACTTAATATATTGTCTCATGAGCCATCTGTGTTTAAGAAAAATGTATATAACCTGTTATAATCTCACTTGTAAGAAATATTATTTATTTTCATTATATTTGAAGGCTGGGGAATCTAAAAACAGAGAAGGAGACCATTTGCTATTTCACTTCCCAGAGTCCTCAGCAGACAGGGGTGGGCCAGTCTGAAGTCAAGAACCAGGAAGAACCAGGAACTCAGAATTTAATCTAGGTCTCTTACTGAGCTTCCTACGCCATCATTTCTTGATCCATAAATGTCTTGATCCTAGAGTGTGCGTTTAGCAATGAACTAGAATCAATTAGAATCAGAGCTGGAAATTGAACCTTGCACGCTAAGATGGAATGTGGATGTCCCAACAGGGGTCCTACACACTGCAACAAATGCCAGTCCATATAGCATAATTTGGATGCTAATAAAATAATTTCTTTTGTAAAAACTACAGGAGGAGAATCAAGATGACAGAATAGCATAAGGACACAGTTCCAGCAGGTGAAGAATCATTAGCCAGGGTAAAGCAGAGAGGGCACATTCTAGGAAATAGCAGAGAGCAGGCTGATGGCAGAAGGGTACCTGGTAACTGGCAGACACAGAAAAGCAGTGGAGACAATGATGTAGTGTTGTATTGACCAGATACACCAGTAGCAGTTAGTGAATGGTGATCTGAAATCCACCAGTGGCCAGAGCTCCACCAGCAACAAGGCAGGAAGGAGACTTCACCAGGATCTCAGCAGGTGAATCCAGACAAGGAACTGCCTGACCTGCTGATTTGTTCGATTTGAGCAGGAGCAGAGAGAGAGCAGCAGGTGCCAAACAGGCTGTGCCAGAACAGGGTGGATTTCACAGTCCAGACAACCACAGTCCAGAGCTGCTTCGGGTGCCATTTTGTGAGGGAGGCAAAGGCTTTGAGACAGGACTGTGCATACACTAAGCTGGAAGCAAACTCATTTCTGACTCAGAGCATTGCACCAATGTGGCATCCTACAGTTTCCACCTAAAATACATCTGGGTAACCCCCAGACCTAACAGCCAATAGTACTCCAGCAGTGGCACATCATGCACCATTTTATACATTGTGGCAAAGGCTTTGAAACTGGAGGGACAAAGTGAGCTGAGTCTAAAAAACATAAACCACATCATGTCACCCTTCTAAAAGCTCATCAGTTTATTCTTGTGATGACAAGAATTAAAAATCCACCCTGATCATCAAATCTTAGATTCAGGTTAACCCACCTGTCTCATTTTTCCCTCCCAGTATACCTCCTATTCATAGACTTTCTTTGGTTCTTCAACCCACCATGTTTCTCTCTCTCTCCATCCCTCCCGTCCCTTATCCTTCCCTCCCATCCCTTATCCTTCCCTCCCTTCCCTTATCCTTCCCTCCTTGTTTACCTCTCACTTTCTCCCTGTTTCCCTCTCCCTCCATCCTTGCCTCTTTCCTTTTCCCTCCCTTCTTGCCTCCCTCCCTCTCTCCCTCCCTCCTTTCCTTCTCTCGCATACACAGGCAGACACACACACACACACCGGCAACTCTGCAGGGGTCATACAGCTTTTTCTGAAGGGGCATAGTCAGGGTTGTCAAACTTGTAAGACATAAAATCTCTGCTACAACTTCTCAGCCCTGACATAAGCAGCCATAAGCAGTAATGAATGATAGGCCTGATTATAATAAAGCTTTATTTACAAAACCATGGAGTGTGTTGGAATTGGCCAGTGAGATCTGTATAATTTGCTAACAACTACAGTTTAATTCTTCACAGTATAATTTAAACACTACCTCGCCAGAAAGAGCTTTATGATTCCATCATAAGTTTGTATCTTAGCTTCATGTTTATACATTGTGATAAGTACTATAAATGAGCAATCATTTGATCTATGAACTTGTTTGCTGTTCTTTGAGACCCATCCACACAGTGAGCTATAAGCATTTAACACAGTGACTGCTGCTTAGGAGACACTCCATAAATATTTTTGAATGGATAAATAAGTGCCATTTTGTCTGTCTTTAAAAGTCAAAGCCAACAAATCAGTAGAACATTGCTGAAACAGCTATATAGATTATCAATTGCAGGAATGTATCTTTTATAAAGAATCTTTGACATAAGCTTTATTGCCATATGCAGAAAATCCTTCCCTTGCAGGCCAAAGCGCATGGGATGCAGAAATGTTGATAGTCCTTATGTTTCTGCTGCCTAGGGATCGCCTAGGGATTCAAGATAAACATGACCTCATTTTTGTTGAATATGCATGTTATGAGAATTAGAACTAAGCAGGCCAGCTGGGGCATAGATTCTTCCTCTAGCATTGTTCATTTCATAGTATATACATGAGGGATATTCATTTCATGGAGAAAATTAAGAAGTCACAGCAATCAAAGTGTGCTCCATTTTAAAATGTTCGTGGTATGCTTTAGGGCTAAATATTCACAGCATGCATTTTAAAGATGCAATTAGGGGCAATGATGCACAAAATTGCATGTGCAAAGAAAATATTATTTTTAGAAATGCAATTGAAACATCCAAAGGAGCTAAAAATAAAAGGTTGTACTGCTAAGGTAAGAACCTGTAGCAGTGTAAGAAACTCTATACGTAGAATAATTTACCGTAGAGAGGAATTGGCAGCAGGTGGGCCAATTCCTGCCATGGTATGAGAGACCTGCCCTTAAGGAACCTCTAGATGTCCCAAAGCGAGTATCTTCTGGTGTAGAAGGGAAAGTCTCACATCCAGGAGGGTCAAGATTTCAAATGACATTGTGAAATAATCTAGAAATGCTAACTTTCATGAACGTGCCTGTTAAATAGCAGATTCATATTTTATATCCCTTTTTTTAAAGATTTATTTTTTATTGCAAAGTCAGATATACAGAGAGGACAGAGAGGAAGATCTTCCATCCAATGATTCACTCCCCAAGTGACTGCAATGGCTGGTGCTGTGCTGGTCTGAAACCAGAAGCCAGTACCTCTGCTAGGTCTCCCACACGGGTGCAGGGTCCC